TTATCTTTTATACATATATATTTATCTTATATATATATTTATTATATATATTTACCTAATATATGTAACAAATAATATTAATTATATGTATAAACATGCACGCATAATTAGTATTATTTGCTTAATTTAAATAATACAAAACCGTCTATCTTAATTATTTTTTTGTTTAGGTAATTTAGTGTAGCTTTTCTTATGAAAATCATAAAATAAGTATAGAAATACGAATAAATTTCCAATAAAAATAGGTACTATTCCTCGTGGCGTTTCGCAATTGGGATTTAAAAATTGCAGTAGAAGCGCTATCATCACGATAAATTGAACCTAATTTCAAAAGAAAATATTTTACAAAACGGAATACTACAAATGATACATTATACTATTTAAATAGAAAAATGTATATTGAAGTAATTAAAATTTTAAAGAAAAAATATAACATTGCACGTGTGATTAAATTATAAACTATTATATTTATACCTACCATCTGCAGTTTAGTTACAAGTGGTTTAATAGAAGATACCATTTGTTGGAGTTTCGGACTCCATGCAGCGATAAAATAGTATATGTACATGATTACATGCACGCTACAATTAAACAATGAAAGAAATGTCGCCCTTTCATCCAAAATGTACTTCAAATAATACCAGAGAAATACCAGATTGGATACATGATGATACACGTGTAAACCAGAAACTTGGTTTTGTTTCTTCCTTAATACAAATATACACGTTTCAACGTAATCGAAAAGTTTCAGAAAAATTAGCCACCATATTATATTAAACAGCTGAAATATAACTATTATTTACAAAATGTATAAAGTATTACCATTAAAATATAAAACATTGTAAATATCGATAATAGCCAATGATAAAAGAACTATAAAAATTATTGATTAAATATTGATTTTTCTTCGAAATTTAATATATAAAATTCAAATATAAATACAAACTTTTATTTATTGTTTTTTGTGCTGATTAAAATCTGCCTAATGGCTATCAATATGACTTTTTAAAACGTGCATTTTCTGCTTCTCTTTAAAAAAATTATATAATTACGAGTCAAAAATTAAATTTACACTTAACATTATCTTTTATATAAGCATTAACTTATGAACAATCTTTATAATTAATATATTGTAAAAACGTACTTTAATCGCATTAGGAGAGTTCGAATTAGACGTCGTACATATTATAGTAAATTCTGAAAACCAGCCATAAGATAGATGCTGTTGGACGAACCATAAGTTTGCCAGAATTTGAATCACATCATAAATTAATATAAAGGTTTTCAACTCATATGGCGATCGATCTTTCATGAAACGAGGACCAGCATAAAGAACAAAATACATATATCCAAAAGTAATTAGCATTAGTGGATATGGCGAAGATATAAATGGCCATTCACGAGTTCGTTCGACTGCAAAAATATTATTTTTAAAACAATGTAATAATTTTCTAAAAATAATCTGAATCATCTTTCTTCAATAAAACTTTAGTGTATTAGTACTTTCAAATATACGATGTTATAATAATTATTTTAGCATAAGAGTTGTATGCAAACAACAATTTTTGCAAATAAAAAATTTCTATCAAAAGCAAAGGAAGTATCATGTTTAAATGTTTATATTTTACAAGTATTTTTACAGAACATATTCTGCTTTATTTCGATAGAAACAAAATGGGATAGACAACGAAAATTTTCGAAATTTTTTCCAAAGATTTTCTTTCTACCTTCTAAAAGCGAATCAATGTATTATTACTGACTTCAGTGCTACACTTCTAACTGATTCGATCTATAGAAACCATAAGTAAAGAAATTAGTATATTATTACTGAAAAACAGTAAATATTCGCCGATGATTACATCAATTATAACTTTATAAGTGCAGTGAAGTCACTGATTCAGTTTTAGAGAGTTACATTTTCGACATTTTTGAAGTTAATTTATACTTTAAAATACGCGCGCACGCACACATGCATATTTATTAAATATCACAAATATATGACATTTATTTTTATTTGGAAACTTTATAACGATACCAAATTGCTAATATAAAATTTAATAAATATTAATATCTAGTATGATGTAAAAATCTTTCTTCAAGAATTCGTGTCATATTTCTCTAATATCGTATACTAGAAAGTATAAATTTAAAAAGATAGAATATTACTCACCCGATAATTCTTCGAACAAATAATGATATATTTCTCCCAAACCCATTGTGAAAGAAATCAGTATCACAATTGTATATTATATCAATATCCCTTATTTAACTTATTTAACTTATCCTGTTTAATTTTGTCATTTGTTAATAAAGCTTCAACGGTTACCTCTGTAAGTTCGTAATGCTAGACTGATTCTGCTACGTGTACAATCACCGTGCTAGTATTTAAAACAGCGAACGATGGACTTCGAACTTAGAATCGAATGTAATTCCGGCATGAATGTAATTTTACTAGAGAAATTTTTTTTCTATTAAGAAATTTTTCATTATTTTGAGACAAAATAAATTATTAACAAAATAAATAGAATATAAAATATTAATAAAAAGTAAAAAAGTTAATTCTCTTTAAAAACAAATGAATTTCCTTAACACGTCCAGCAAGATTTCGTCATGCGATGTTATATTGAGGAATCACATTTGCAGTAGGTGACATGGTTACTTACATTGTCATCATTGTGAGAAGTTTACGAAATAATTTCGAATTGTCGGTTTTTTCCATCGAAGAAACAAACAAGGAATAATCATTTACTTACCTGAAACAGAAAAAAAGGAATATATTAAAACGTGACAGGCAAAAGTGGGGAAATTGCAAATAGCGAATAAATATGAATCTCTCACGTATTCAGTAATAGTCCGATATACTCTTAGGCCCGATTTCACAATATATGGTTACCTAAAGATTAAAAGTAACCAAGAAATTCATGAATAAATTTCATTGATAAATCTGTTGGTAACCTTTAATCTTTAGATAACTATGTATTGTAAAAACGGGCCTTAATGCAATGTGTAACTCAACCATAAAAAACACATTATATCGTTTAAGGTAAAGAGAGGATCCCGTTTGCTTACAAAACGATTGTCTACAGCTTCGTTTGCATACAGCAATATTGCACACAGCGTATTGCACACAGGACAATATTGCACACAGCACATTGCACACATGACATTATTGCACACAGTGTATTGCGCATACGACATTATTGCAATTATGTCGTGTGTGCAATACGCTGTGTGCTATATTGCTGTGTGCAAACGAAGTTGTATGTCTTTAATGCTGCAGAAAAACAAATTCACATATTTCTATTCAAGAATCAGAATCTTTAAGAATCTCATTAACCTATCAGAATCTCATTAACCTTTTGTGTAATGTAAAATTGTATAAATAAATAATCCTACATTGTGACTAGATTTCAGATTTTTTTCTTTATGTGGAGCATCTCTGAAATCCAGATGTCTGTATGATATTGTATATAATATTTTTATATGATATTTCTTGATCCAAGATCTTCATATTTTACCAATGTCTTAATTAATTTGCAAAATGTAATCTGTAATAACTAAATGATGGAATGCATTGTATTACAAAAATATTTTTTTTTTTTGTTCAATCGTTCTTGTTATTACGTGTCTGGCTCACACTGACACATTGCAATCTTTATTTTTTGTCATATACATCATATGATTTCATGAGCTATGATATATTACAATTTTGTAAACTCTCTTAAGCTGATTAAAACATCTCCATCTCATTGTTAAATTTACATTCTTAAAGTTATTATAGTGTCTCTGCTCTATTTATAATTTTATAAGTACGATTTTATAATTAAAATTTATAATTATCTATAATTTGTGTGTGTGTGTGTGTGTGTATGTGTGTGTGTTGTATTTTAATACTTAAATATTTTCTGTATTAGGTACATAATGCATATATTATATACAAAATATATTATATATACAAAATATAATATTATATACAAAATATAATATTATATACAAAATTCTTATATCTTGAATTCTGATATAAAATATAAATTATCTAAGCAGGTTTTAAATTGTAGAAAAAAAATAAAAAAAAAAATAAATAGAATTAAATAGAATTAAATAGAATTAAATAATTTTGCGTGTGTATATATAGAATTAAGTGAAATAAATAATAAAATATACATCAGCGGGGGGGGGGAACATGATTATCTTTTTTAAAATAAATAAATAGATATTAAAAGAATTTTTTCGTTCTCTCTAATTAAAATAACATAAATGTTTTTTTTTGCATATATTTAAAAAATTATTAACGTTGAATGGCATACATGTATTAATATCCTACAAACCCTTGGTTCAATATATAATAGGTTGCAACGTCGCTTTTTGCAAATATGTACATGAAAGAGAAATTTTTCAAAGCTTGTCTTTAAAAAATGGAACAGACACTAGTCTTTCTAAAAGAAGAAGGCAATGCCTTCTTAACCTTTTTAAATCGAGGACATTCAAAAGTTGACGAAATCCTCCAAAGCCTTCATCAAATTTTTAATTTTCTTGCAGCTCTTACCTTCCATCTCTAACCCGCATGTCTACGTCTACCTTCATCAAAATTATGGTCTTTCTAAGATCAGCTCGAGTGAGCGTCACAAACACTGAATGTCCCAAGTATAAACCGAAATCATATAGTCATCAAGAAACTGTTAACTTCCTAGTTAATTAGGATGTTGTGTAATACTGCGCGACATAAAACAATAAAAGTCTAAATTTTTTTCTTCGTCCTATATTATAATTTATTATAATTATCAAAGAAAGACTGGAAAATTGCATTTTAACACACAAAGTCTAGCTATCGATTGCAATGCAAATATTTGAATTAAAGAAAATATAATCGTCGCTGTTAACAGCATAATTAGTCATAGTAGATAACTCAGTTGATTAGTAGATAACTCAATTGAATAGTCGTACCTTCACACTTTCGTAAACAAGTATCGTAGATAATATAATATAATAAAAGTTACGTATAACGTCCGACTTTACAAACTTTTTTGCTCGTCCTGTGACTACAGCAAAGAAAATATCTTGCATATCAGGACGTATACATGGATGCTATGTATCAGTCGCATTCCAAAAGGAAACGAATCGAGAACGAGCGAAGTAGAGAGCCGGGGGATCGACATAAGCGTTTTAAACGAGTGGGTTCGCATCCGCCGCTTTTGTGCCTTACGAGCTATTATATCGTTGCTGCACATTGTACTTCGTCCTGGGCATTGTCTTCGTTAACCAACGACACGACAGTTGGCGTTGGTGTCTGTCGGTACCGGCGCGCGACAATGACAATGCCTCCACGACACAACCTACGTGGCATACTTTAGTTTCCAACGTGTAAACGAGAAAACTCTGAAAGCCATTTCCTCTGCCGCCGCAACGGTCGATTAATAAAATTCAATTGATGTTCGTAATGAATAATCCGGCGCGCGTTTCGATCGTGCAATTTTTTTTTTATTAACAAAGGAAAAACACAAAATATGCGTCACGACACTCGCCTTACAACGCTAATCCTTATGAAATTATGAATATGAAATTATATCACCTTAAAATTCGCACAGTCATCAAATCAGTATGCATGTAAGTACACAATAAATAATAGATAATAATATAATGTTACGTATGTAATAGTATAATGTACACATTTAAAAAAAAAATAAATAAAATAAATATGACAAAAAGTAATAAAGGTTTCGATCTAATTGCAGACTAAAGAGAATAAAAAATAGATATATAAAATTATATATTTGCGAAAAATGAAAAGATTTATCATGATAACGAGTAAACTTCGTCATATCAAATAAAATTAAGAAAAACCACACGCACCATAAAATATCACAAGCATAAAAAAAAAATCTCATTCCCGTGAGAATGAGAAAAGATCTTAAAATTTAACCGTAAACAGTGAGCATTGTCAAATTTTCAGAACAGAAACGCTGAAATATGGATAATCACGTGCCATCGCATCTTGATGTCCTAGTTCGTCCCTATGGCGCAGTCTGCATGCGCAAACTCGTATCATCGGAGATCCGCCGATAGATCACGTTCGTGAGACAGGAAACGATCGGCACGCAACGAGGACAGAGGGAAAAAGAGAGACGGAAAGAAAAGGAGCAAAGAAAGAAAGAAATATCGAGAGGAGATCGAGAAGATTTATCTCCTTACCGAAAGGTTTGGATAGATTCATGAACCCTATCGATCGCTCAGCTAAGAAGAAAAGATATAAAATATCCTTTCACTATACGCACAAAGGACCATGCTCTGCGTGCAAAACGTGCAAATTCTGAAGAATTAAAACTAAGAAATTGTCATTTTTTTACGTTGCTCTACATACTAATGAATCCGCAAGAGAAAGCGTTAGTTATGGTATAAAGATACATGTGTGGGGTACGCAGTTGTCTTAATAGTCTCATGCAATATTTTCGTAAAAAAGCAATTTTAAGACAACAAAAGAAACGTATATAACGCGTACAATTAATGGTTAATATCGATTAATGGTTAATAGGAAGCAATTAAAATTTAGTACTCTCAAGTCTTGAAAGCCGCAAGTGAATAAAATCGATGTCTTGCTTTCTAAATCTGATTTTCGATTTCTTTCGAATATCTGCTAAATCAGCCCGTCCATAGCCTCTTGTTTGCTTTGCTTCCGTTCTTTCCAGTTTTTCACTGCATTGTCGACATTCTTTGCGTCTGGCATACGGCGTGATCATTCAAGATGCATACGCCATGTTACACGAAGCAATACTTTATAGTTCGCCCTCCGCCCTTGGGTCAGCATAAAGCATGGCTCACGAGTTGCAATTTCAAACTTTCGTGAAGCTATAGGGTAGACGAAGGGCACTAGCAACGAGAAACTGACAGGCAAAAGTGGGTGAGACAAAAGTTCGAGACATTTTCAATGAGCCTCGTGTTAAAAAATCGATGAAGTTCACGAACGCCTCAGAAGACACTTTTCCGGACACAAAAGATCTTATTCAAAATGGTGGAAAAGAGAAATAGCAAAATTGTTTAGTGAGAAACAAACAATGGAACTACTGAGTCACACAATCTTTATAAAACATGTAATATAATGAGAAAATAAAACAAGAATCATTCATTCCAGAGGAAATAATACGAAAGTTACTAACTGTTTCAAAACAAAAAGAAAAGGAAAATGTATTATATTAGTAGAGGAGCATCAGCGGAAGGAAAAAAATGGAGATTTGCGGAATCGATATGCCTTTGCAAGTGGTAGCGAAACGAATTCGACGTAAAAGACCATGTTCAGTTCCACGGTTGGTTAGACAAATTTTTACAAGTTCTTCAGATATTGCAGGATTGCGATATCGTAGAAACAAGATTGGCAGTGACTGCCATCTTGGCGATTCTCGTCGTCATTGTCCTACAAAAGAAAAGAGAAAAACTGAATCAATAGTTGTAGTAACGCAAAAAGTTATTGTTATCGTTCGAGAGATAGACTAGTAAAACTTGGGTGCCAGACAGTTTCCAGTTCCCCATCGAACTAGCCTGTCAGTTGCTTCGAAAAATTTAATTCAGAATCACCTTCATCCACCCCTCCGTTCTAGTCCATCGAAAATCTCATTTTAGGTACGTGGCCGGAGCAGCAACGTTCGATTCGAATCGAGACACTTCTCTTCGCTACTGCATCGCGTTATGATTTGTGCTTCCCACGTTTTTTCGTTAAATGTCTTCTATCTGTCTTCTCAATTCGGAACATCAATACTGCTCG